GCTTGAGGTCAGGAGTTCGAGACCAGCCTGAGCAAGAGCAAGACCCCGTCTCTACTATAAATAGAAAGAACTTAATTGCCAACTAACATATATATAGAAAAAAATCAGCCGGGCATGGTGGCACATGCCTGTGGTCCCAGCTACTTGGGAGGCTGAGGGAGGAGGATCGCTTGAGCCCAGGAGCCTGAGGTTGCTGTGAGCTAGGCTGACGCCACGGCACTCACTCCAGACTGGGCAACAGAGTGAGACTCTGTCTCAAAAACAAAGAAAAAAAAAACAACCCTGAGACATCTGCAGGCAAACGCGGGCGGGAAGGGATCCGACACCTTCAGCAGATGGGGGACCCATGGATCTGCGGAGAGAAACTCGAAACGGCAGACGGCGAGAAAGGAATCTCCCCTTTACAGGAAGCACGACGACAGACACGCCAGCAACCACGGCGATAGAGAAGTCCACGGTGAGGTCACACTGAGGGCCGACTCGGGACAGCCCCCCACGCCAGCGCGCCGGTCTGGGCAGGACTCCCACGTGCGTGCAGTGCAGGGGGACTCCCCGCCCAGGCCGCACGGGGGACGGGACCCTGCAGTCACGGCGCTGCCCCGCATGCCCCGAGCCACGGGCAGTGGCCCCACTCGGCTGCCCCGCTGCTCGCTGGGCCCGAGCACCTGGGGACGACCAACTCCTCCCAACCTGGAGGACCTCGGGGCAAAACCAGAACGTCACGAGAGACAAAAGGGGCCGGGCGGTCTGGGCCAAAGGAGACCAGAGACTAATTGCACGTCTCGCTGGCCCCGTGACGCAGGCGGGCAGCGGGAACAGGCGTCGCTGTGAGGCACGGAAGACGTGTGGGATGGCGCAGACCCCTGCAAGGGGCCCCACGGCAGAGAGGGGACCCCTCTCTCGGGACACACGTGCCTGAGGCAGTGTCTGGGCACCGCCAACCCTCACGCGGCCCAGGAAGGGTACACAGTGTTCCTCGCACGTTCCCGCCGCTTGTCTGAAAGTTTGAAGTGTTTCAAAATACAATGTTGCGCAAGAAAGGGAAAAGGAGAACGGGAGGCCGAGGAGGCGGCGGCCAGACCACCCCGGGGAGGACAGGGCTGCAGCCGGCACAGGCCGCGGAGAGCCTCACGGTGCATCCGTGGGGGCTGGCGGGCTGTGGGGGTCGGGGGAGCCCGGGGCAGCCGCGACGCACCCCGCCGGCCCCACACGCGTGTGTGCTCACCCATGCACAGGGCGGGGGGCACGCCCAGGCACAGCAGGTACTGGTACAGCAGGAACAGCGTCAGGAACAGGCAGTAGTTGGGCCAGAGGCGGGCAATGGCCCGGCGCTGCCGGCGGGTGAGGATGGCCACCAGCCAGCAGCCGTGCAGCAGGACCATGAAGTTCATGCGCTGCCCGATCACGTTCACGGCCATCAGGAAGCAGATCTGGCGGGGGTGGGGGTGGGGCTGGACTGAGCAGGTGGGAAGGGACCTTCCGGACCCACCCTGCCCCGCTAGCTTCTGGCTCCAGGCAGCCACACGGGGCGGGGGCCACTGCAGCCCACACCACCCGCCTGTGGGCTGGAGAGGCTCGGCACACCTCCATCACCCGGGGGGAAACTGAGGCTGGGGGAGGCAGGCTCCGCGGCAGAGTGAGACCCTCACCCGGCCTCCCCTGCCACCTCTCGGTACCCACACGCCACAGGGGCAGGGCCGAGCCCATACCCCAGACAGCCCGAGGGTGGGGACCCCCACACCCCCCTACCCCCAGGACGGTGCAGCCCCCCAGCGGCTGTGCCCTGCCTGGGGACAGGTGGCAGCGGCCTCACCTCTAGCCCGAACTTGTAGAAGAAGAAGTTGATGAAGTACTTGAGGCAGCTGAGCAGGTCGCGGTCGAGCCACTGGCGGGTGCCCGCGGCGCACACGGCCTGGGCGGGCGGCGGGCCCAGCTGGTGCTGCCGGCGGTAGTGCTCCTGGCGCCGGTACACCACGGCCTCGAAGGTCAGCAGCAGGAGGATCTGCAGGTGGTTCTGCGGGGTCGGGGGGTGGGGGAGCGGGATGATGGGTCAGGGTGGTCAGGCCGGCCCGCCTGCTCCGCCTGCCCCGCCGGCCCCACACTCACCTGGATGTAGCCCAGGTTGGGGAAGCCCTTCCGCACCCCAAACCAGTTGGCAGGGTCCACGGGCCCCCGGTACAGCACAGACTGGTTGATCTCTGTCGCCAGCAGATTGGTGCTGTTGGGGAAGGGCTGGCAAGGGGGGGGGCTCGGCATTAGCTCCCACTTCCAGGCCTGGGCATGGGGCGGGGTGGGGTGGGGGTGGGGGGCTCGGCATTAGCATCCACTTCCAGACCTGGGCATGGGGCAGGGCGGGGCGGGGCAGCCACAGCTCCAGACGGCAGCTGCCCAGCCAGGGGTGCAGGTCTCAGCCTCTCAGAGCCACCTTCCTGGCGAAGGGTCTGGGGGTTTGGTAACCAGAGCCACGGGGGCCGGGAGAGCAAAAAGATGTCCGAGGGGAGGCGGGACGGCCCACCCCGCCCCCTCTGCGGCAGGCGCCCGTGGCCTTGGCCAAGCCAGGACATGCTGCTAAGCCTGAGGACGCCTTCCTGTTGGGGATGGGGCCATGGGCCTGCACAGAACAGGTGGAAGGACGCCTCCTCCAGGAAGCCCCAGGGGACAGACCCTCTATGTCCGTTGGTGCCCACCCCCCCATGCTGAAGCAGCGGCCCCTGGCGGGCTCCAGAGCACAGAGCCGCCCGGAGCCCCCTCGGCCCGCGCCCGGCCGTACCTCGGTGCAGTTGCTGGAGTACAGGTGGGGGTTGACCACCTTGAGCTGGTACAGCATCTTGCACACGATGATGATGCAGGTCCACACGGTGGACAGGCAGGAGGCCATGGGCCGGAAGCGGGGGTAGGGCAGGGCGAAGGCCCACAGCGCCACCAGCAGCAGGTTCATCACCGACACCTGCAGAGAGGCCAGCGGGGCGGCCGGGAGTGACCCCTCAGGCTCCGGAAAACCGACGCTCGGGGGTAGGGGGGTGCAACCGGAGTCCCGCCGCGCGAGTAGGGGGGTGCAACCGGAGTCCCACCGCGCGCGCACCTCCTTCAGGGCCACCCAGACGGTGTACAGGGCCACCAGCTTGAATACGTGCAGCTCCAGCAGCCGCCGCACGAACACCTGCACGCGAGTGAGCGCGTCCGAGAAGCCGGCCGCCAGGTCCAGCAGCCGCTCCGCCACCAGGCCCCACTTGCTGGCTGCGCCTACAGCGGAGGGCGGTGAGGGCGCGGCCGGCCTGTGCACAGGAGGGCTCCAAGCAGGGGGCCCGGCCACCACCAGCCTGCGCTCCGCCCCACCCCCACCCCCGACTCACCGTCAGGGGCTTGCGCGGCGGGGCAGAGGCCGGCCGGGGTCAGCCCCGCATCCCCGGGAGCCTTGTCCTCCTCTTGCTGCGGCAGAAGCAGCGGGGTCCCGCTCATGGGGTCCTGCCTGGGAACGTCCTCCCGGATGTCACCGTCCCCACCCGGGGCCCGAAGGAAGCCCCGGCCTGCCCGCACCCCCACCCACTCTGTGACCCCTGCCGTG